TCCGGGTCCTGGCTCCTCTTCGGTGGGCAAGGCGAAGGCGGCGGCCTCGGAGAGCCTTTCCTTTTACTGCAGCGCGGTGGCCCCCCACAGACCAAAGCCCGAAGAGCGAGGTCGGGAAGAGCTGGACGACCTCTGGGCCTTGGACCTCTTCGAGGCCGGAGAGGGACTCGAGACGGGAGAGGAAAGAAGGAATCTACGAATCTACGAAGCCCCAAAAACCAACCTGAACCTAGAAGCTTGAGACAATTTGAGACCTACATAAACCCTGACAACCCTAATAATGCCTCACAAAAAACCAAGGCCCTCAGCTGTAAGAAAATAAACCCTAGACAAAACCTAAATCCTTATGAGCCCTAAGAACCCTACAATCCCAAAGCCATACGCCCGAGGGCGAAACCCTGCAAAGCCCCAAGCACCCTAAACCACAAGATTTCCAAAGCAAAACTTATAACAGAAAAAAACCAACAACAAAAGAAACAATCCTGGCTTTCAGGGGTGGTCCTCACTCAGACACCTGCACGATTGCGTGGGGCACCTCTGCACAACAGCCCAATTTTCGTGTGCTTGGAGGGCGGCGACGGCGCAGCTGCGACAAAGAAGTGTGCCAGACCCACAAACGCAGTGCGCAGAAGCGTTTATGCCTGACGCGTGAGAAATTGAGAAATTGCCGGGGCAAGCTCCGGGCCTTTCTCCTTCTTCGATCATCCGCGGCGGTCCGTATGATTCCATGGCAATCTCGGGAACCCCCCCATCTGCGCAACACATTAGATACAAGCGGATGTGAAGGAGTTGAACTCTTGCTTGCCAATGCTTCGCGCCGTCTGCCTCCACAGCCCTGCATGTATATGTGCATGGCTCGCTCTGCACTCTGGCACCACCCATGAGAGGCAAAGGATCCAAAGCAGCACGGTTCCTACCTCCAGGTTCTGATGGTGCCCGTAGACGCGTAGGTGTCTCGAGATGAACTTCCTCCGGGAGAGTTTCCAACAGGTCCTCATGATCCATTGTGTTGTTGATCTCAGGCAAGACCTTGGGTGTGCTCTCAAGGAAATCTTCATGAGGTGCACGGTCAGGTTGCAGAAGCGCTGCCAAGTCTTGTTAGTTGGCGGTGATGACGTGCAGGCAATCCTGGCAAGGTGGTTTGTGTAGTATCCAAACAAACCTTGCGGCACTGCAGAGCTCTGCACACTATACTGGGCGGCAGCACGCGCTTTCATACTCTCTGCGGCGGGAGCAGGGTTTGGTGTCCACATGGGGCTGCATTTTGGATCCTCTGTGTGCTTGTTGGTCTTGGTTGCTGTCTTTCTCTTTACTTATAGGACAGGGCTTGGGGTGCAGGGCTTTTGGGTGGGTTCGAAGCACCCCGCCAGACCAGACTGCTGTAGGCGCAGCTTGGTGCTCTGCAAACAGTATAAAAGCTTCAAGACAACAGCTAAAGCTAAATCCAAAGCCTCTACTCTTCGTACGCAACCTCAAACCCCTCAAGTCTAAATTCCTAATCCCAAATCCTCAAGTCTCAAGTAAGCTGGTTGTAATTTCACCGTTTTTTGGATGCTTGGCCGCAAACTCTCCTGTTTTCTGGTTGCAAATTCTGCCTTCAGGCCTCCAGGTGCTTTTGCAGTTGCAAAAAGTCTGTTCTGGTTGTAATGAAACCCATGTGGCTGTTATTTCCCTCATTATCCCGAGGCTGGGAGCGCGGGGGGGGGGGGGGGGGGGAGTTTCGGCGCCTGCCCTGGTGGACAAGAATAGGCGCCGGCATAGATGTTATTTTTGCCGCAGTGTTTCTTTGGCATCTTGGCTTATGAGCACAAGGTGCCCTGGCAGCAGCTTTTGGAAGACCTCTTCCAGAGGCCGTGGGAGATTTCTGTTGTGCTCAGTGGCTGGCTGTTACGTGCCTGGGGAGGTAGCACCCTGCTTGCGTTTCTTGTCACTGCGGAAGCCCGGCCTCGCGATTCATGTCTTTTGCCATTTCATGCAAACAAATAGCCTTCTCCCAAGAAAGCTTTTTCTGGCAGCAGAAGAGCGCCTTGGGACAACTCCGGCTCCTTGAAGTCGGGGCCGCTCGGGTTTAGGGCAGAGATTTGCATCGAAGCGTTGAAATGAGCTGCTGCAAAATCCCCGAACCCTATAGCGTTTTTGTCTTTGTGCAGGTGGCAGGAGGCAGGCCTGGAGCCCCTACCAGTGGTCCGGCTCTGCCTTGTGGGCAGGGGGCGTGCAGGCAAGACGACGACGCTCAGGCGCGTGCGCGGTTGTGAACAAGCAGCCCGCTGTTGTGTGAGCCGCGTGTGTAGGCTGTGCCTGCTGTGCTGTGTGACAAAAGTGATTCCCTGCGCAAGGCGGCTGAAGGGCGAGGAGGTGCTGCCCGATGAAGAGGCGTCCACAGCCGGCGTGGAGGTTTGGACGCGCGAGGTGCAGAAGGACGTTGCCGCAGACTCTTCCGACTCGTGCACGTGGCAGATGGCAGAAAGCTCCGTGCTCGAAGGGACAGGCCGCGGCCGGTCTCAGGACCCAAGCAGAGGAGAGAGCTGCGGAGTGGCGCAGCCGGCAGGAGGAGGAGAGGTCGCAGAAGTTGCAGAGGTTGCGGCTCGCGCATCAGCAAGCGAAGGAGAAGAAAGATGATAGCGCGGAGAGGCAGAAGGAGCAGGAGAAGATGGAAGAGGGATGGAAGGAGGGATGGAAGGAGGCAGAGGAGGAGCGGAAGATCAAGCAGCAGCATGAGGCAGAGGTGAAGGAAAAGGAAGCGGCGGCTCGGGAGCCTCAAGAGTCGCTGGATGTGACTGTGGGCCCAGCACCTTTGGGCCAAGACCTCACGCTGCAGCTGAGCAGAAGACGCAAAGCAGACGGAGGGGGCGGAGGCGCAGGAGACTCGGAAAATCCTGGGCCGCAGCTCCGGCTGCAGGCCTGGGATTTTCCGGGTCAGCGGGAGTACGCGCAGCTGAACCTTCTTTACTTTACCTCGCAGGCGATCTACCTGGTCATGACTGACCTCAGCGGCGATCTCGAGGAGGAATGGGCACACCTCAAGTATTGGTTGTGGGCCATAGCCCAGGTTGCAAAGCAAGCTGAAAAGGAAGGCAAGGAGACCCTGCCCCCGGTGTTCCTGGTCGGAACAAAGTGGGACAGTCGCAAAGATGGTGTCGACAAGTACCTTCAGAAGCGTTTGGAGGCTTTTTTCCAGCAGGTCCCTGCCATGCGGGAGCTCATGCAGGAGGGCCCTGGAGTCTGCAATGAAGAGGCATGCTGCTGCGAATGGCTTTTTCCTGTGGAGAACAAAGCCAAGCCACCCCCTCCGCCCGGGCCCCCACCACCCTCCCGAGCCCCAGCCCCCCATCCCCCCTCCACCCCTCCTCCCCCGCCCCCCCCAGCTGCACCACCACGCGTGGCCCAGCCCCGCCTTGGCCATCTTGGTTGCAAAGGCATAGACAAGCTCCGAGAAGCGGTGACGGCCGCAGCCAGCGAGTCGTTCCTCCCGCGATCCAGCGCCAAGGGCAAGGCAGTCAAGCCTCATTGCGGGATGAACTCAGACTGCTACCCCGTAGCTTGGCTGCGAGGCTATGAGCTGCTGAACAAGCTGGGGGAAGGCTTCTCGGGCACAGCCTCCCAGAGGAAGCTCCTGCAGTGCCTGGAGAAGATGCAGACTGAGCAGTCCTCTGAGAATCCACCCCTCTGTCCCACATGCTCGGGGCCGGCAGTGGTGGCCAAGACGAAGAGCTTCTTGGAGGTGAAGGGATTGGACGGCCAAGACTTGAGAGCACCTCCCGGTGCCGATCTTAGGGCGACGTGCAGGACCTGTGAGGACATCCGCGTCACTCTGTCCTACGACTTCATCAAGCTGGCGGATGTGAAGGAGCTCCTGCAGGGCATGCAGCCGAAGGGCCTCGATCAAGGCACGCGGTTGGAGGGGACGTTCTTTCGTTGTAATTATGCGTTTTGCAGAGGACCTTCAGAATATGGGTTGCTTGAGCGGAAGCCGAAAAAAGTGTTTTTTCAAGAGTTTGGAGTTTGTTATCCAAGCAACTCCGTGTCGCCGGCTAGAAATAAAAACATTTCAAGGGACAGGATTTTCAAAGGTAAGGTTGTTGGGTTTCCACCCTGTGACACGTGAAACGGAGTTGCTTGGAGGACTTTTGTTCTCCAAACAACTCCCTCCGATCTTGTTTGTGCTGTTGCCACTAATTTCATCTCTTGCGCAAAGCTATTGAAACGAATGGGCACAACCAGCAAAGAAACACCTAATTTTGTTAACCTCATTTTGTTGCATTCTTGCCACAACATCTCTTGTCCCAGCTGCTGAGGCCGTCGCCTCCAACCTTCCCCCTCATCCAAAAAGGATATGTTTCAGTTTATTTTGTCTTCAGAAAATGGGCTTGAAGATGTGGGCTGCTTGACGACGATGCCAAAACGCGTGCGTTTTAAAGCAGAGCGACACATTTTTAAAACTCATTTACATGTATGTATATGTATATATACATATATTGACATGTGGTGAGACGTCCTGAGCGCGCAATTCCACATACACGTAGCCGTGCATGTTGAAGCATTTTGGTGAACATGTGTATGGGCACATCTGTGAAACATGTCCGTGCATGTGTGTGTGTGTGTGTGTGTGCCTGTGTCTGTGTCTGTGTTTGTGTATGTGTCTGTGTCCATGTCTGTGTCTGTGCGTGTGAGTATATACGCATTGCAAAAAATTATCTTTGTCGTTGCTGCATTTCTGAGTACAAGATGTAGTGACTGGTTGTTTGTGCCCGTTCGTTTCTACTTTAGCCGTGCGTCCACCAAGTTGAATTTTAGGCCTGATTCTGTTGCCAAAATGTGGGTCGAGTGTCTCAATTCCACTGTGGTGAAGCAGCAGTAGTATTGAGCGACGATCGCTAAGTTAGTGAAAAATAGTGCTGTGATGCTGTGATGCCACAGGCGAAGTCGAGCTCCTCCTGGAACACCTGAATGCGCTGGGCACACTCATCTGGTTCAAGGAACCAGGTTTGAAGAAAGAGGTCATGCTGGCTCCTCGGAAGGTAGCGCTTGCTCTGACAAGCCTGATGTTGGTTCGCTTCCGGCACGATGGGCAGTGGCACCATTCAGATGGCTACATTCAGGAGATCGACGAGCGAGTTCAGAAGGCAAAGCATGGAGACGTGCTCCGGTTCAGGACGAGCGGCGTAGCCACCCAAGAATTCCTGGAGATTCTCTGGCGCACGGATTTCGACCCACCCCAGCAGGAGCTGTTGCACGAGTTTCTTCTGAGGCGAGGGCTTATGAACCAAGGCGCGGAGAAGCACCTCTTCAGTATACCTTCATGCCTCCCCCGGGCTCAGCTTCCAGAAGCGCCGGTTAGCCAGGCAGACGAGGTCATCTACGTGAACCTGGATGGCTTCGTGTCCCCGAATCTGTTTCCCGACTTGGCGGCGATGCTCTACAAGCAAATGAGTCTGAGTATGGAGCATAAGGAGGCCGAAGACGAACCGAAGGGTGAGCTGACCGTCAAACCCGGCCCGCCCCAAGTGTTCAGCAATCGAGTCGAGGTGAGAGTAACAGCAGGTGGCGTGGCCATGACCGTTGCCTTGTCGCTATTCCCGCTGAGTAGCCAGAAGCTGCTGCGAATCCACGCGAGATCTCATGGAAGATCTCATGATGGAGATCCCAAGGGCAACGAGGCTGCCAAAGCAGCTCAGGCGGCCTTAGAGGCTTTTCATGTTGCCACTGGCTTCAACCTGGCTGGCTACAAGGCGCTACAAGCCTCAGACAGCGGAAATGAAGGCAAGGATGGCTTGGCGCTGGACTGGCAAGTGTCCAGCTCTTGTAACCTGGAAGACCGCGACCTGTCTTTGTGGAGTGTTGAGGAGCTCGCGCGCAACAGACCGTGCCTTGAGGAGGAGTGTGGCCAAGACCTTCTTGCCCAACGATGCACGACGTGCCGCTTGGCAAGGCTCCTGGCAGAACGCTTCGAGGCAGACCTTGGTGAGCGCCTGCAAAAGGTGATACCCAAAGTGTCGATTTGGGACAGCACACGCCCGGCAGGAAGCTTCCGATTTCAGGTCGTCCGCTTTCCGGGCGACGTGGACCTGTCGGAGTACCTGATCTTTCAGGCCAAAGACGAGCAAGATGCCTTGAGACAGCTGGCTGATCTGCTCCAGAAGAAGTTCAAGTCATCCTGGACAGACCAGGCAGACCAGGGCTTGCACTGGGCCGGCCTGAAGACGGGAGACCCCAAATCTGACAAAAAGAGCGACCTGCTGAAATGGAGCCTCTCCGACATCGAGGAAGGCTACAAGGGCGAGATCTCGCTACAGGAAGCCCTCGCTTGCACTTCCCGAGACCGCACCGCCAAAATCGACATCTTCGCCAAGACCGACATGTTCCAGAACGAGACCGCTGAACAGCGCTTCGTCGAGGTCACCAACGTCCTCTATGTCGGGTACTTTTCTGCGGCCGGCGACGGGATCGTCCCAATCACAAGAGACGCCAACGTCATCGAGTACCTCGGGGAAGGCCTCAGGGATTACTCAGCGAAGCACCCGAAACCCATGAAGTACGTGGGCTCCTCAGCAAGGGCTGTGCTGCTGTGTGTCACTTGCTCATCCGCTAAGCTGCTGGCAAATTCCCTAGCTGCTTCAACCTCCCCTCACGCCCCTCACCCTGAGCCTATGCGCAATCCCTATAGCGGCCCTATAGCGCCTCCAATGTTGCAACGAGGTCAAACGTCTCTGGGAGCGAAGCGTTTTTTTCGCACAGCGTGGGTGGCAGCAAGAGGCGAATGTGGCCATGTTGGAGCTGCTGAAGCCCATGTTGCAGGGAGCTGCGGCGGAGTTGTGTCAGCTAGCCGCGCATGCTGAGACGTTGATCAAGATGCTGAAGTGCGAGACGCAGGCCACAAGAACGGATGCGCTGCAGGACTTGCAGGTACTTTGCAGCTTGGGGCACTTAGCCTAAAATATAGCTCGTGCGCCGCCAAGCACAGCCGTCATGATGCAGCCAAGGCAGCAAGCTGAGCCAGATGCACGCAAGGCTCGAAAAGAACCAGGACGAGGAGGCGGAAGCTGCCAAGGAAGCCTGCCTCTGCCTGGAGGAAATTCGAAGCCTGTGCTTGGAGACCCACGTAGATCCGAGCGTCTCAGAGGCGAAGGAGGCCCAGGCCAGAGAGCAGCTGGAGATGGCGCAACGGGTCTTGGAAGGCACCGCCGACCTTCTGGTGATCAACGCTTTGGGTGCCTTCAGCTCCCCGGTGGCCTTGCCGTTGGGGAAAGACTGGCGCTTCCCATCGGATCACCCCCCGATCGGAGCCACGGTCGCCGTGCCAGCGGAGGAGACAGAGGAGACGCTGCATGTGGCGTCATGGAATGTCCTGAACAAAGCCTACGTGAACCACATTCAGGCGAACACGCAGGGACTCAACGAGTCGCTCATCTGTGACTTGCACAGCACCGGCGTCGATGACGCAGGGGCGGATGCGCGCGAGCGCATGATTGTCGGGATGGTGAAGGGCATGATGTGCCGGCAAGTTGCGCCAGTCCACCTCCTCTGCCTCCAGGAATGCTCGCAAAGCTTCCTGGCGGCGCTCCGGAGCAGCCTGGAAGCGAGTGGAACCCCTCACAGGCTTGCGCTGGTACGAGGCGGAACGGATGATGACAAGAACCAGGAGGCGCACATGCCATACAATTATGCTCTGCTATGACTATAGACGTTTATAGTAAGGCTTGAACGTCTCATAAATGCTCAGGAACAAAGTGCACTTGCGAGGTTATCGGGTCCTTGAAGCAAACTTGGTTTTTGGATTGCAGCGTTTTGATGGGCCGGAGGGGGGCGGTGCCCGGCCAGGCACTGATCTACAACGAAGCGAAGCTGACCCTCTTGAGCAACAGCGCAGAGGCCTACCCATCTGACAAGAAGAAGGCCAGTTCCGCGCAGTTGCCTTATCTTCCTCGCGCTATCCCCCCCGCGCCCATCCCTCTGTCTCTCTCTCTCTCTCTCTCTCCCCTCTCTCTCTCACTCTCTCACTCCGTCCCGTAAGGCGCGGTAGTCGCGTCGTGCAGGCAATTCTGGAGACGAAGTTTCGCTTGCAGTCCTGCCAGAGTCCGATCCGTGTAGTGACCACGTGCCTCGGCATCGTTTATAGCAAGAAACTCTCGCTGACAGTGCGTAGGCGCCGCAGTCCCCAAAGTCTCTGATCGCCCGCGTGTCCCGTGGCCCTTAAGGCATCTGCCTGGGAAGCCTTTCGGTCCCGCTCGCCGGGAGTTCTGCAAGTGCCTCAAGACCATGCTGGCGAAAGACAAGCAGCCAACTCTCCTGCTGGCAGACCTCAACTTCCCGGAGGAGGCGTGCGGATGCTTGCGGGATCTTGTGGGCTTTGCATGGACCTGCTATGAACTGTTTTGCTAGAGCTGCTACAGTGGGTCCCTGTCTCTAGACTGAGAGGCGGTGGCTTCACTATTGCACCTGCACGGAGTGCGCGCAAGCTTCGTCAAGATCCCATATCCGACCAACATCTGCACGGCAGGGCCGCGTGCGTTGTGGTTTAATGTGCCGGTTCTGTGTCTCCGGCGCCTCAAGCTGTTGCCTCCACGCAGGGCTCCTTGCTGCCGAAGCGGATCGACAGCATCGGCATCATCCCGGAAGGTTCCAAGATCACGGCCGGGGTCTTCCGTGCACGTAAGGACTCAAGAATGCCACGTGTCAACTTTGAGAGATTGGCACCTGTTTCAGAATTATGGTGCGTTGTACACATGTTTGGTGGCAGGATGCGGCAGGTGCAAAGCCGCCGAAGCCCTGCGAGCTGGCGGAAGAGCTGCTGGAGGGCTGCGGTGCAGCCGTGGAGCTTCTGGAGACCAGGCTATGCCGGCGCTATGCTCTTGAACATGTCTGCTTTCTGCTCTGCCAGATCTTGCCAATAGCTGATGCCCGAATGGGCACGCGGGCACGCATACGGGGTTCGCGTGTGCTGGAGGCATGAGGAGCTGGATGTGAAGACCTTGGCTGCCATGCCTGCGAAGGCGAGCTTTCGCGCATCTTTGAGCCAGGGTTTTGCTAGGGCTGGGCCCTCGGGAGCAGTGAGCGCTCCGAGTACTTGAGAAATGTCAGCCGCCAAACCTATCTCGCAGCTTTGCGTGACGTGTGATGAGTGCAGTCCACGAATGACATGTAGAAATCCCAAAACCCGAAGCCAGATCTTCGGCCTGTTTCGGCCCTGTTGAACGAAGTCGACAGCCTCGGAGGACCACGACGCCAGCCCCTTAGCGGGGAATGCTGGCAGCGCTCTCCTCAAGGCGCCCCTTTATTTTCGAGACCGGCACGCTGTGGGAGTGCACGTTTTGCAATAGTTTCAAATGTATTTCGATTCCGAGGGACTGTGGGAGTGGACTTTTTGTTGATTGTTATTGTTTTTTGAGGTTTGTAATGTTGCACAACTCAATAATGTATATTAATATGTCACAACCAGATAGTGAATGTAGAGAACTCAGTAGGCTGAGACTACTATGACCCCAAGTTTTGTATATATTGGTTGTTCACTATAGGTTCCACGTGTTTTTCTTTTCTTGTGGGATGAATAACAGTTCCAAGTCTTGCTTATCGGGGGGGGGGGTAAGTGCGTTATTAGGTTGTATAGTTATAAGTTGTGCTTGTGAATGCAACTTTTCTGTATTGCTTCTTGGAGGGGGGGTTGAAAACATGACTGCTTAATGAGTATACCACGGTTGCATTAGCATGGCTTTTCTGATTCGAAGTCTCGGCAGACCCAGCAACCGATCCCCGAAGAGACCGAGAGCCTCCAACAGGCGCAGACATGCAAGCTTTGCACGCACGCCAAAGATGCCCTTGGAGAAGCGGGCTACCAGCTACTTTGGTTAGGAGTGTGCTGCAAGCTTGCGGTGCTCAGCAGTCTGTCTAGCAAGTGCCCATGTGCAGTTTGATTCCACGGCGCCTGCAGGCCCAGCAACCGATCCCTGAAGAGACCGAGAGCCTCCGACAGGTGCAGACATGTGCACGCACGCCGAAGCTGCCCTTGGAGAAGCGGGCTACCATTTACTTTGGTTAGGAGTGGTGCTCCAAGGTAGCACCGATCATCGAGCAGTCTGTCTAGCAAGTGTCGATGTGCAGTTTGATTCCCCGGCGCCTGGCAGGCCCAGCAACCCCTCCGACAGGCGCAGACATGCAAGCTTTTCACGCACGCCAAAGCTGCCCTTGGAGAAGCGGGCTACCATTTACTTTAGTTAGCAGTGTGCTGCAAGCTTGCGGTGCTCCAAGGTAGCATCGATAATCGAGCAGTTTGTCTAGCAAGTGCCGATGTGCAGTTTGATTCCGCGGCGCCTGGCAGGCCCAGCAGCCGATCCCCGAAGAGACCGAGAGCCTCCGACAGGCGCAGGCATGCAAGCGTTGCACGCACGCCAAAGCTGCCCTTGGAGATCAAGCAGATGAATGTTGACCCTCATGCTCGAATCCCTCACAAGACCTTTTGCCACAGTCGAGGTTTGCCACGGACCCACGCTGTCCAGTCTTCCAGTATGTAACCGAAAATGCAACTTGTTGAAAGCCCTTATCTGGTTCTGCACTTTCCCATGGTGCACAGCAATACGCGCTTCCCAAAGTTTCCGCCACGAGCGAAGAAGACATGCCGCTTGCAAAGCCTATGTGGGTTAGACGACCCTAGCCCCTAGCCCTAGATAGCCTGGCTGCATGCACAGTTTTGGTGATGATTTTCTTTGAGCTTCGAAAGTGCGCTTGCCAAACCCTGCTTGTATCGATCTCCTTCAAACCCCTAGAGACCGTCTAAGACCCTTCCCAGCCCTAGAAGCCCTAAGCTGGCCCCCAGCCGGAGGCCAGCTCCGACGCCAACTTGCAGGCTTCCTCGGGTCACGCGATTCCGCCCCGCGCTTTTGTGCAGAGTGTTTTGACATATGGCTTCGAGTGCAGGCCAGAACTTGAGAGGGTTCTCAGGGTTGCCCAGGATGGGCTGTTACATGCTGTTGCGTCATGCAGGGGGCATATATGAGGGATTCAGGGATCGCAGTATGGGTGCGCCGACGGGTCCGAGGTGGCCGCGCCAAACCTTGCCACCACAGCGTTCGAATGCTAGAAGTCGTTCATGCCATGCTCTGTCAGTGTGTGCCTCTCGCGTGTGCCCCGCCAGGCGCAGAGCGCATTGAAGGAGGACACAGCATGCAGTTTCGGGCAAGTTCGAGGGACAATGTCCAGGATTCGTTCACGCATACGCGAGGAAAGACATCAACATCATCACGGGTGGTACCAGTGGATGAGAGAAGCCGCAACAACAGATGTAAGCCTCAGCACACAAGTCAAGTGCGATGAGTTGGTATGGCCGTGTGTCGATCCCATAAGTGGCGTGAGTTTCGCAGACTGGTTCGTACAAATAGTTTTGCCAAGCCGTTGTCCGAACATGCCCCGTCTAATTACTCTCTTTGATGAGTGCGAAAGTGCTTGGTGTGGATCCTGTCGCTGCAGGAAGTGAACAGACTTGCACAGGACTGCCATCGCTTTAGTTGCAGTCAGGCTTGGTACCTCATTGTGTGCTGAATCTGAAGACGCCCAAATCGTCTCTCACGCAAGAAGGGGTGGGGTGGCTTGCATTTTCCTTTTGTTGACCAGCACTCAAAAAAAGCCCGAGACAGATCGGATGAAGCAGCTCAGTGCAAAGCATGGAAGCACCCTTGGGGAAGCATTGGCAATGTATTGGCGCAATACTAGAAGTCATGGTGCGGTGCAGGAAGAACATGCCATGCAGTAGTGGCAATGGTACAGAACGCTATCCGACAACTGCCACAGAAACGCTATACAAATGAGATTGCCCATTTGGCTGCTGAACTGTGCAGAAGCACCCTGCAGGAGCTCGCCACGCTCAAGGCCGAGTTCGAGCACTTGAAGGAGCAAAACACAGAGAAAGCAGAGGACGGTGGCCGTGACCATAGAAACAAACCCTCATGCTAATCACGATGCAGTATTCCGAGTCCGCCCAGGTTTTGGCTGTCGGGTGGTTGCAATGGCCCCTCGCCCTGCCCGAACCTTCGAACCGATTCCCCCCCCCCCCCCCCCACGCACGAAGACGCTGGCTTGTGCGGAAGATTTTGGCGGGTGCAGCGAGTGTCATGTCAACTTCTTGGGTCTAGTGGCCTAGTGAGCCTGAAGCTGCTGCTGCAGCTTCAAACGCGCACCGAGTGTCGGCCCGAGGGTGGGGGGGTGGGGGGGTGGGGGAGGGTGGCGAGACATCCTTCCTTTAATAGTCCCCAAATCCTAAACTGCCATCCCTGGCTTAGACTGAGTTTGAGCGATAACTTACAGGCATCTGCAGGCCCCGAACGGGTAAGCCCCGAACTGCCCCAAAGCCGAAAGAGGCCAGCTGCGAAGGGACCGACTCAAAGGCCTTTCCGGCCGCACGGGCACTACTGCACGCGACGTTGTAAGGGGGAAGAGAGGGCGGGAGCACCAGAAGCGCCTGCGAACAGCTGAGAGCATCTCCGTGTGTTCCATTGCGCTTGCGGCTCCGTTGGTCCACGTTTTCCACTAGAGTCCACGCTCCAGGACACCGCCACCGGAAACGTGGCCCTCGGCGGCTGGATGCGCTTGATGCACCTGCGCCAGATGGCGCGACATGAAGCCTTGGATGAAGGCCCCCGGACCGAGAACATGTCTTGGCACATGTGTCGGCAGATGTTTTGGCGCTGTTGTGCGGCACAGTCCTAGCCTTTGCAAGGTCCCCCGCGCGCGGATGAAGAACATGCGCGACAACAGTGAGGCACTCATACGTGGATGATGTGCTGGGCTTGCTGGTGAGCTCTTGGAAGCATATCGCAGTGTCTTGCAGCATGCTCAAGTCAACCATAGCAGACGAAACTGCATTTGTGACATCCTGCGAGAGTACACCGCTTGGCGCAAGGAAGTGTTTCACCTGCAGGCGACGCCATGTTTCCAGGTGGAGATGGTGTTCACAGGGCATGACGCAGGTATTAAAGCTTGCAGATGCATGAAGGACACTTTTGACAGTTTCGACATGCAACAGGGCTTCGTCTGTTGCAGCGTTCGCCAAGCGAATGGGTTGGTCTACACCCTCACTGCCAAAGATGCAGAGATCCGTGGCCTACCGAAATTGCACAAAGGTTCGATTAAGAAGCTGCAAGGGTGCGCGTGGAACACGCGAACCTGGTCGGCCGCAGGCCGCATGTGCGCAAGACGCGCGATGCGTCTCGCGAGCAAAAGACGCGCCGGAAAAGTCGCCTCTTCAACATCAGCAGCCTGAAAGCCTTGCTGCAGAGCAATGGCAGGCTACAGTTCGTGTACTTCTTTGCACAATAGTGATTTTGCATGCCATTGCATACAACTACTGAACTGAAGTAGGCTTGCAGAAATTTCGTGACCGTTTTTTGTTCTGATGGGCCTCTTCTCCTCGTTCATGAGGATGCACAGGCTGTTGCCAACTCTGACTCTGGGTGCCGCAGGAATCTTGCGACACAGCTGGCGCCGCCCGGAAACATGAGTGGGAATACCTAGTCGAGAGCTTTCGTTGCCTGATATTCTCCATTTGGGCTTGATGAACTTCGTAACAATGAAAGGTCTTGAGGCCAACGGGCCTAATGAGTGAATCGTCTGTAGCTCCAACCATCAGTGTAGCCACAGAGACATGGCCCTTCCTTATTTCTTGTTTCTGAAGGGGTAAGGTGAGTTACCGGATACCTTTGGTAACATTTCAGGGGTCGGGAAAAGTTACAAGAAAGACCACCCCCCCCGGCCTCGGTAACATGTTCAAATCGGTCAGTTTTGGTATCGGCCTTTCGCTGGTTCTATGTTTTTTTGTCTTGAAGAGTTCCGGGCTTGTCTGGTTTATTGACTTGTGGGAAGCCCGCTTAAACACCCTAAGAAATTCCAGCAAACTAAACCTCAGGAGCAGTAGGCCTTTGTAAAGAAAATCGCAGAGTCAAAGTTATCTTCACTATAGCTGGCTTTCCTGCCCTTCTCTACATCTGGTCACAAGAATTGTTAGTAATTCTTATTCACATTCTTACAATAATCAGAAAGTCAGTAGATCTACTGGCGTAGGGGTTTGTAGGGCATGAGGGAGACTGCTAAGAAGGTAATGGGCCTCCGGCGCCGGCTCGTCACCCCTTGAAAATCTAAACCCTAAACCCTAAACCCTAAACCCTAAACCCTAAACCCTGAACCCCAAACCCCAAACCCCAAACCCCAAACCCCAAACCCCAAACCCCAAACCCCAAACCCCAAACCCCAAAGCTAGGCGGGTGGCAAAAAAAAAAACCCCAAACCCCAAACCCCAAACCCTAAACCCTAAACCCTGAACCCCAAACCCCAAACCCTAAACCCAAAACCCTAAACCCTAAACCCTAAGCGCTCCGCTTCTTTATAAAGGGTGAGGAGCAGCCTAAACGCGCGCCGCCGCGCCGAACCGCTTTTCCTGGTCACGATAAACCCCCTGATTCCCCTAAGTGCCCTCACAGGGTGATAAGTTTTTGTAAGTACAGTTATATAAGTACGCTTTTTTTAAAGAATTAGTATAGTTATCTGCATAAATATACACTAGAGGTTCCCTACTAGTCTCAGAAGGGGCCTTCAAAGCTTCGGCCTGGAAATCGATTCGAGAAGAAGAACGAATTCGAAAAAGAGCCCCTGTGGCTTTCTCTTCTACCGCAGAGAAGATCTCATCTTCTAACTGAATATTTGAGCAACAAAAATCCAAGCTTCCAAATTCGCAGAGCCGGGTCGCGAATAACTTTGCGGCCCAGAGCTTCTCTGCAATGAAACATCCCTGGGGCGTCAGAGCCATATCTGTCCCTGTTCTCAGGTTTAGAGTCTAGAGTAGAGTTTCGGGTGGTTTAGGGTGTTGTTTCTGTTCTGTTCTTCTTTCTCTTTCGCCTTCAGCACGTCATTGCACCTCCAAACCTTCAAATCACCATATTACATCGATCCAGAAACAAACTGTCGATACAGGATATGAAATGTTACCAAAGTCTTTGGGTAGGTCATGAGAGCTCCCAGAATCCCTTGAGAGACCCAGAAATGTTACCAGAAACATTTGGGTGGTCCTAGGCTTATAAGGCCAGGGCCAGAGACAGAAGCACCGCAGGCCCGGAAATTGAAGCACGTTTTTCCACCCCGTGCCCCCGCAAGGGACACTGTGTCTGAAAGACACGGGATGCGGCCCGGCCACTCCGAAATTCTTCTCTGGCTTCTGGACGGGTATGTGTGAAGAGAAGAAGAGAGAAGACGACACTGGCACTGAGGGCATTTGTGCCAACGGTAAGTCAGTTCTCCTGAATACGGATATACAATCATGATGAATTCTTTTGTCCGTCTGTGCATGGCAGGTCCCTCGGAAATTTGAACGGTGGACCTTGGAGAAGTGTGAGGCAGATCCCTGACCAGGTCGCCCTTTTTTGCACGGCTGTTCCTTTCACGGGTCCAGATCCAAAATAGGTGGCTAGGGTCCATGTGCCCTTACCCGGAATCCAGACACGGTCGCCCTGCAGAGATCCTGAAACTACGCGACCAAAATAGAGGACGCTCCGACAGCGACATCGATTTCGAGAATGTTTGATCAGCGGTTATTTGAGATTTGCAACTCTCGGCTTAACTGGTGTCGTTCTGTCCTTCCGTGGAGTTCTCCGTCCGCCCTCACCTGTATCAACTTCAGTTGGTCGTTTGCGCAGTGGCTGGCTGCCAGGGGTGAGGTTAGGCTTTAACGCACATCAGCAGCACCCTATCATCCACGTTTTCACGTGGAACCTTGCAAGGCGAAGCCAACACGGCGTGTAAGTAGAAGTGCAGAATTTCAGTTCTGCTTCTGAAATCCGCCTTAGACGTCCTGCTGAGTTCTCAGCTTTAAGTTCTCAGCTTAGGGCAGGCTTGGTCCCTCGACAGCTTCGTGTGCACCCATAGAGCCAATGAGCAGCAGCCAGTGCTGGGCGGCGCGATGAGCGGCGCAGGATCCTCAGAGCGCAGATGGACGCTGCCTTGGGCTGGACTGCTTTGGGCTTGGAAGGTTTACGAGCTCAGTTTAGGGTTCAGGTTTGAGGGTTCAGATTCAAAGGTGTGAGGCTTTTTCGTGCTTTCGAGCAAGTGAGACACTTTCTTCCACTTGTCTCTGGACAGTAGGGGCTAGGATTGACCACTTCAACTTTTGGGCTCTTGGGCTATTGGACTGTAGGGTTTGTACTTTCAGGTTCAAGTCGCACTTTGTGCCTCACTCATTTTTCTGACAATTATGACCCACCTGGTGTTGCAGAAAAGCAAGCAAAACAGTGCTCCGTTTCACTCCAAAATTTCGCTGCTCGACAGCATATAGGGATTTACGGTGTTCTCGAGCACACGCAACCAACATCAAAACCAAAAAAAAAGAAGACACCACCCCCCCTGAAGGGTGAAAGGAAGCGAAAGGAAATAGGTACAATCCACACTTTTGTGCCATTTGCGCCAAGCCCAGGTTTAACAAGGTGAAGTACTTTAGGGGCGCTTTCCTCTTAGGAACTTAGCAACAAGTTAAAAACAACTTATCGGCTGAACTTAGCAGGCACTTGTAAGTTGTTTTCAAGTAGCACAAGCTCTCGGTAAGTTTTGTTCGTGGGGTTTGGGCACCATTGTCTTGGCTTTAGTCATCAAGATGTCCTGGTGAGAGACTTGTGAGCAGCAGGACACGGGGCCGGGGGGACTCCCTTTTGAGAGAAAGCAGCAGCGCAGAGCAAGGCGAGGGCCACAGGAAGCAAAGCAAGGCGAGGGCCAAGATCCCAGAAAGCCTTCGAAATTTCCTGGACATGGCTCAAAAAACTACAAGGAGAACACAAGCCTGGTGTGCCTGCGATAAAAAGGGCAAGAAGCGGATCTGATCTGGCATTCAGCATGTCTAACTTTATAGAGTTCTTACAAGGAAAGACAAGAGTGTAGAGACACAATTTGTAAGAAATAAGTACTGCATTTCCTATAAAGAAAAATCCGAAAACATCTTAACTAGCTAAGTTGCTGCTAACTTTTTCAAGCCTTGGCAGCCAAGTGGCCGCTAACTATGTATCTGGCGCACAAGTACGTCGTCAGTGTACATAACTTAGCTTGAAGATATGATACTTACCATTCAAGATATGGTGCTTATCACCCAAGATAGAAAGTTATAAATAGGATACAAGTTACTTTTAACTTTATAAGTCCGACGCGATCCCAAAGTAGAGGGTGTAGACTGTTGAGAACACGAAGGTTCCATAGTACCCGTGCCCAAGAAGAATGCCATTCTCTCATCATGAGGGATGAAAAGTCACTGGGTCTTGAAAGCCCTCGACTTCGCTCGTTGTGGGCAATCTATAGCTACAATGGTTCTTGCGACTGCCCTGCACATGCAGTGTCTGCGAGAGCCCACGCCTCCCAGAGAAATGCCACGTCGATCGCCTCTCAGGCTCTGCGGAGGCTTGCCTGGTTGACTGCGGGCCGGGCCCACAGAAGGGCCCAGAAGGGGCGCTTAGGGAACTTGTTTGGGTTGCATAAGTTGTAAGGGTGTGTTAAGGGGGGCTTGAGGTGGGGGGGGGGCGGGAGGGGCTATCGAGCTCCCGAACCAAAGCAGAGATTGGGTTGGCGCGATGGTTTCTGCACCCTCCCGCAGCGCTCCATGGCTTCTTGACTTTGAGCATGCATGGACGCATGATTGGCGGGCGTCCTCCGGAGCAACAGAGTTTCCTTACTGGAATAAAGCAGGACCAAGCAATGGCACGAGGACCTATAGGATCGCAGGCAAGGCCTCGCAGTGACTTTAGCATGTGCACTCGTCTTGGCAACCCCGCCCAAGGCACTAGTTGTCAAGAACTCCCCATTGTTTCTCGCAATCTGGCGGTGCTACATCGTTCCCCCCCACGATGACTGAGGCAGCTGCCGATTGTGCCCTTCCGGGGAACGGGACGTCGTTTGAAGCATGGCTGCATGTGGGTTCTGCTGAAGATGTTTCTGAATTTGTGGCCCCTCTTCGTATTCCAATTTCATCCTTTCCTGGTTCTGCTACACCGCACTATTTGATGCCATGCACGGGCAAAGCTCTCAACCCTGATGCATCATCGGTGTCCATGCCTTTTCCGATGGGAAGAAGCGTAGCACAGGACATCCATCAGCAGCTGCTCTCCACAGCCGGCGAGGACTTGATAGAGCAAAATGGGAGCGAAACCACTATCGCCTATTAGTTTCGCCTTGATGTGCCACCGAGCGATCGGGACTCGAGCCTGTAAGCCTGTAGGCACAGGAGAGTGGGACTCTGCTATCAAGCCGGAGGTTCACAGTTCGCTTTTGACGTGACGCTATTTGCGATTTGTGGCAAGAGCCAACTAAGAGCTTTTTGGTGGGCTTCCGCACTGCATTTAGCATTGCAGCATATTGCAGCCATTGCCTTCATCCGAAATTGCAAGAAGGGGGCTTTAATGCTGAAGAGTTGCAGAACGCTCGTCGACGGCTCGCAACTAGCGTCAAGCAACTTTACGATTTCCATCGCCTGTTGCAGGTGAGTGCCTAGATGCTGCCTGATGCCATGTTGAGTCGGTTTTTGGGCTTGCAGCTTTTGGTCCGAGCTTGGCTCTTAGCGAGCGAGACCGGTCACATACCAAGGTGAGAGCAGCACTTGTGATACAGAGTCAGGCGAGGAGCGCCAAGAAACCCTTTATGCAGCACACTGTTTGTGCAGCACGCCAAATGTCGGTCATGAATTTCGAGGCAGTCGAGGCCTCCGAGTGCATGTGCGGATATGTGCGGTTTGAGGCTGTGTAAGACGCATTTGCTGGTGTAGCTGATGTGGCTTCCGGAAGGCTTTGCGATTTTGATTGGGCTTTCTGGACGGTGATTCCAGCTGAAGGTGTCTTCTTCGAACCCAGGGTTCGCGCCCAAACCCTCCCAAAACCCTTGAAACAGACACAGCTTGTCACTCTGATTTGCAAGAGATTTATGGCGCCCGCTTCTGTGCATGTGTTGGGAGGGTCGGCAGCAGGGCGCCGACCCTGCTGATGCTCATGATGCTTGACAGGAGCAGAGTAAAGTCTGCTTTTCGGGACTTCGTTGTCCATGTACTGCAATACTTTCATAGCATGTTTGGTCCCCATGGGGTCATCAGTTGGAGCAAGATAGTAAGAACTTTCAGTTTCCCGCCCTTCCGATTCTGTGTCGTTCTCGAGAGTGAAACGTATGCTATAGCCATCAGAATTCTGATCTTAGTTTTTGTTGCTTCGTTGGGGTTTGGCTTCGCTCCCTGGGGCGCTAGGGAGGCTTTGTGATTTTTCTCCAAGCCCCCCTTTTTTCGCACAGGTTTCCCCAGGCCCGCCTGAGACCGCCCTTCGCTGTGGCGGTTCGCCTGCCTGGGCGCTGTTCATGTTCTCTCTTGCTGTGGAATGCGAAGTTGCTGGTGGCAGGGAACCAAAGCAGAAGCGCAACGGTACTGGAAAAGTGTGGCTCTTCGCTTTTTCATTTAGAGGGTTCGAGATCTGTGTCGCTGTTTTTCTTTCATGCAAGGGTCCGTGTGAGAAGGACAGCACCACCACAAAATGCATGCCGCACGGAGGCCAAAGACCAATATCCTGCACATCGCTTCAACAATCCTGTACAACCGCCGGACTCTCCTACTTTTCCGTGGCCTAGAACAAAGTATATATATATATATATATATATATGGCTGATATATACTATACAATATAGACACCTTTGCACGTTGAACTCCCTGCAAAGTGGGTCGGATGCATGATGCCTGCGTGGACCTGCAAAATTTGGGAGAATGGCAGACGTGACTAGCCTGACCGCGGGAAGGTGCGTGAAACATGCACCCGGATGGCGCCCTTGCATTTGCGACATCGGAAAGGCCAAGAGAGCTATACAGAAGCATGTTTTCGTAGCCTACGGTACTAAAAGTATGGACTTCGATATGTTGTGGTTATTTCGCTTGTCGGTACATTACACAGTGTACAGACAATGGTATACTTTATGTGGACCTGTCTGTGGGCTGTGCCACCACTCCTGTGGCTAGCAGAGGCAAGCTATGAGGAAAAGAAGGGGCCGTGCCATAGACTATCTCAGTTGCAGTCTGCGCCGACCTCCAGCCGTATATTCGAACCTTGTGGAACCCATCGCCGTGAGATTCGCCGTGGGGCCTGGTTCAAGGGTTCTTTCGGCTAGCGAAAGCGGGGCGGTCATGCAGATGGATGCCGCGTCGCAGTCGCAGTGTGGAGCCACAGATCGGACTTGAAGCGAAGTGTGCAGTGATGCACAGCGCACTGCTGCAGAGAACGGCTTTCAGCAATGAGAATCGTGGTAAACCGCGCCGTTGCATTGCAACCACTGCCCGGCCTCCCCATTGCAGTGCACAACACGGACCGTTGCCAGCGGCCAGTACGCCCCGAGGCCCCAACCCCGCCGGAAGCGCCCGTGACTGAAAGTGCAGAGGCCCGGGAATCCTTGTGATGGAGGCCAGGCTGGGAAGTGTGTTTTGTTTTTTTTTGCGCTGGGAGATGATGCCCCCCCCCCCCCCCCCTCCTGAACTTTTCGCCCCTCTCCCCATCGTGCAGCCAGCGCCCAATCGAAAGCACCGGGGGGAGGCTCGCTGGCAGCTCTTGGAGCCCGCGGAGGGCGCGCCGCGGCCGGCGAAGCGGGATGGCCACAGCGCCGTCGTCGACGCGGCCTCGCGGCGACTCCTCGTCTTTGGCGGCGAAGGAGGCCAGAAGCCCCCGTTTCAAAGCCTCCTTGTCCTCTCTCTCTCTCCTCTCTCCTCCTACTCCCGCGCCTTTTGTTTTCTCACCCTTGTTTTGTTCGTCTGTTCGTCCTCCTGCGGGCCCTCTTTTCGCGTTCCGAGGGCGTTTCAACTTCCTGAACGACGTCTGGGCCTTCGGCCTCGAGGCGTTTTGAAGGGCCCCCCCCGAAGGGCTCCGCTTCTCTGCTCTGCGTTGCCTTGTGCAGTGAAATGAGGAGCCCCACAAAATTACCTGCCCAAACCCTTAAAGAACAAAGCGAGAGCCAGGCGAAGACTTGGGAGGAGCTGGGCACGGCTGGGCCTCGGCCCGGGTTTGGGACCGGCGCGCCGAGGCGACGGGCCTTCGGCTTGGAGGAGCGGGGCGGAGAGGAGGCCTGGGATGCATGAAAACCCCCAAACCTCCCCCCCCCCCCCCCCCCCAGAGCAAGGGTTACATGATTCAAGGGCATCCCCCAAAACCCTACAACCCCCCTTTCAACGCCCTCCCTCAGACCTATAAACCCTACACCCTATAATAGCCCCTAATAGCCCCTAGTAGCCCTAAACCCTAAACCCTTGGCAACAAAAAAAAAGCCCTTATAGAAGCTTCCAAAGGGCGGCCAGTGAGGTGATGCGCCGCCGCCTCCGGCATTCCGGAGCTCCGCGCCGCAGTGGATCGGGAGGCCCGTTTAGGGTTTATAGGGTTTGGGGTTTTTTGGTTTGGGTTTAGGGTTTAGGGTTTACTGATCTGAAAACTTTGACTGCGGACCCTCTTTTGGGGGGAATCGGGGTATACTTTGGGGGTTGATAGGGTTCAAGGTTTAGGGTGCAGACCCTCTTCAGAAAACAGGGCCTACTGCCGTTTGGGGTTTACGCTTTTTCATGGCCTCCTCGGATTTTAGGAGCTTCGGCCCCAAGCGCCATAAGCACCCTCCAAGCCGGTAACCTTAAACCAAACCCCGCGAAGCCCCCAAAACCCTGTCGTCAGCTAGGCGGGTGGCCCGAAAACCCTAAACCCTCCTAAGCCCCGCCCTCCCAAGCCCCCCCTATATCTCCCTAAAGACGTATCGAAGAAACACGGCGGAGGCCGCCGCCTCCCTGGCTCCTGGCGGGCGCTTCGCGCAGGAGCTTCCTTTGCCCTGGCTTCGGCGCCTCCGCTGAAACTCGCGCAGGGTTTGGGGTTGAGGGTTTGAGGGGGTGGAGTTTTTGGGGTTAGGATTTGGGGGTGACATTGTAGGGGTTGAGGAGTAGAAGGGGTGACATTTTTGGAACACTGCGGGCGTGCTTCGGGGTGTTTCAGGTTTGTCAAGGGCTTTTTCAACCTTTTAGGGGGGGGGGGGGGTGTGTTGTTTGGAATTTTTATTTGCTTAAACGTTCCGAAAAAAATCGAGAATCTTGTTTGCTAGGCCCTCCTTCTGTGCAAGCTCTCGTGACTCGGGCACTTTAAGTAGCGCACCGGACAGCAGGCTCAATCAGTGGCGCGTCCACTCTGAAGGAGGGTTGAGCAAGTTTAGCAACTCATCGTAGAACGTCATGTATCTCTCAGTTCGAGTGCAAACTGCGTTCGCGTTGCCGCGGTGAGCTTGCTAGTCGCTAGCGGCCTACAGCCGTTTGCTCGTGGTGGCCGTGACACTCCCCAAAGCACGTCCGACTCGGTTCTCCAAATCATGGTCTCATTGTTGTGGTGCCCTGGGGGCTCTGTAGAGGCGCCAAGAATCCCCAGCCCCAACGAGTTTCAGTTGCAGGTTGCGAGACATCCTGGAAGATGCCGCTGAAGGACTGATCCAGATTCGCGGCTTAGGGCATTTCGGGTCTAATTGGGGTGCACCTTTCAGTGCTGCATGGTCGCATGTTCAACAAGTCCCATGCCGTGATCGGCAAATGCCACAAGACCAGCCAACCCCCCCCAATTAAACCCCTAAACTTTCATTTTCAACTTGCTACAATAAGAAGCCAAGATGCCCTCGACCCTGATCCGAATTTGTGTTGAAGGGGGGGAAGTAAGGAGGAGGTACCTGATACTCTCACTCTCTCTTGAAGAAGTGGTAGGAGAGAGAACCTAAAGGTGTTGATGCCACTCACTGCTTTGGGCTGGATTGTTCTTATGCAGAGGAAGCACCGGGGAAGAGAATGAGCTTCCCCCCTTCACGGCCACCTTCGTCCTTCCCCTGGCCGGGAATCCCAGAGCGTGAGCCCAGGAATCATCATGGGTCGTGAACTGAGGGAAGTACGGTTGGGTTTAGAGTTTAGGGTTTAAGGTTTGGGGGTGCTCTTTTTTCTTTTTCTCGAAGTTCAGAGGACGCTTTCCGAAACACCGAGGGAAGGAGGGTTTGGCCTTGGGGGCTTTTCTGGGTGTGGACAGCCTCAGCCTTTTGGCATGCTGGCAGGGGCTTTTTGCGGAAGAGACATATGCTTTGATGGATCTTGGCCGCTGCGAGTATACAGTTACCTGTTGTGAGGATTCCTTTCTCAGGGCCCATAGGGTTACCGCTACTTGGAGCCGTAGAACATCTAGGGCCGAAGGTAGCTGTTCTTGTTCCAGAGAGCCAGAGCTCTTCATGAACCTGAACTAGTTGGACAAGACCATCATGCACAGGGCGCCTCCTTTATCAGAAGTCTTCTTACTCGGAATCCTGGCCCTTCCTTGCATCGTCCTACGTACGGAGAAGTATTCCACAAGTGGCAGTAAGTCAATTCAAAGTAAGTCAAATCAGGCCAAAGTGCAGCAGATGGGCGAGGAGGTGCCGAACGAACCGGGAAGGGTTTTGGGGGATATTTAAGGATGCTCAAGTGTGGTGTGGAAGTCCTGTGCGGATGACAGACGGAAGGGCCTCCGACTGCCCCGATCTCACAATCCGGAGGCTCCAGTGCGTGAGCCTTGAACCTCCGTTGCACCCATGTGGGAGGCCGGAATTCCTGCGAGGGAAGAGCCGCGGCCTCAAAGATCAAGCAAAGCCCGCAGTCTCATCACCTCAAGTGGAATCCTGCAAAAGGCTTGAGATGCAGAGTTTTTAAAAACATCTTCCGTCCAAAGCTCCTCTTGTTTGGAGTCAGTTTAGGTTATCCGGTCCTTGAAGCAAACTTGGTTTTTGGATTGCAGCGTTTTGATGGGCCGGAGGGGGCGGGTGCCCGGCCAGGCACTGATCTACAACGAAGCGAAGCTGACCTTCTTGAGCAACAGTGCAGAGGCCTACCCATCTGACAAGAAGAAGGCCAGTTTCCGCGCAGTTGCGCTATCTTCCTCTCGCATTCCCCCCCGCACCCAACTCTCTCTCTCCCTCTATCCTCTCTCTCTCTCTCTCTGTCTCCGTCCAGCAATGCGCGGTAGTCGCTTCGTGCAGGCAATTCTGGAAGCGAAGTTTCGGTTGAAGTCCTGCCACAGTCCGATCCGCGTAGTGACCACGTGCCTCGGCAGCGTTTAAAGCACGAAACTCTCGCTGACAGTGCGTAGGCACCGCAGTCCCCAAAGTCTCTGATCGCCCGCGTGTCCCGTGGCCCTTAAGGCATCTGCCTGGGAAGCCTTTCGGTCCCGCTCGCCGGGAGTTCTGCAAGTGCCTCAAGACCATGCTGGCGAAAGACAAGCAGCCAACTCTCCTGCTGGCAGACCTCAACTTCCCGGAGGAGGCGTGCGGATGCTTGCGGGATCTTGCGGGCTTTGCATGGAATAAAACCTGCTATGAACTGTTTTGCTAGAGCTGCTACAGTGGGTCCCTGTCTCTAGACTGAGAGGCGGTGGCTTCACTATTGCACCTGCACGGAGTGCGCGCAAGCTTCGTCGAGATCCCATATCCGACCAACATCTGCACGGCAGGGCCGCGTGCCGCGTGCGTTGTGGTTTAATATACGGGTTCTGTGTCTCCGGCGCCTCAAGCTGTTGCCTCCACGCAGGGCTCCTTGCTGCCGAAGCGGATCGACAGCATCGGCATCATCCCGGAAGGTTCCAAGATCACGGCCGGGGTCTTCCGTGCACGTCAGGACTCAAGAATTTCGCGAGAGAGTGAGGAGAGCAAAGAGCTTGGCAGCTCGGCAGGATGCGGCGGGTGCAAAGCCGCCGAAGCCCTGTGAGCTGGCGGAAGAGCTGCTGGAGGGCTGCGGGGCGGCCGTGGAGCTTCTGGAGTCCAGGCTGTGCCGGCGCTATGCTCTTGAACATGTCTGCTTTCTGCTCTGCCAGATCTTGCCAATAGCTGATGCCCGAATGGGCACGCGGGCACGCATACGGGGTTCGCGTGGGCTGGAGGCATGAGGAGCTGGATGTGAAGACCTTGGCTGCCATGCCTGCGAAGGCGAGCTTTCGCGCAGCTTTGAGCCAGGGGTTTTGCTAGGGCTGGGCCTTCGGGAGCAGTGAGCGCTCCGAGTACTTGAGAAATGTCAGCCGCCAAACCTATCTCGCAGCTTTGCGTGACGTGTGATGAGTGCAGTCCACGAATGACATGTAGAAATCCCAAACCCGAAGCCAGATCTTCGGCCTGTTTCGGCCCTGTTGAACATTCGGCCCCGTTGAACGAAGTCGACAGACTTGGAGGACAACGACGCCAGCCCCTTAGCGGGGAATGCTGGCAGCGCTCTCCTCAAGGCGACCCTTTAGACTTGAGACCGGGACGCTGCGGGAGTGCGCGTCTTGCAATAGTTTTAGATATATTTCGAGCCCGGGGGGCTCTGGGAGTGCACGGCTGGGGGAGGGGGAGGGAGGTGGGGGGGGAGGGAAGGGGGGGGAGGGAAGGGGGAAGGGGGGAAGGAAGGGGGGGGTTTGAGTTTGACTAGTATGCTTGCTTATCGGGATGCATGGTGAAGATAGATATCAAGTCTTGCTTATCGGAGATTGAAAAACAGTGCCAAGTCTTGCTTATCGGGGGTTGATGCGTTGTAAGGGGAACAGTATAGCGATAAGTTTTGCTTGTGAAGTCAACTTTCCTGTTTTGCTTCTTGTCTTGGAGGGGTTGATAACATGACTGCTTGATCAATGCCGCGGTTGCACCAGCGTGGCTGTTGTGATTCGAAGTCTCGGCAGGCCCAGCAACCGATTCCTAAAAAGACCGAAGGCTTCCGACAGGCAGAGACATGCAAGCTTTGCACGCGCGCCAAAGCTGCTCTTGGAGATCAAGCGGGCTACCCTTTATATCTAGTTAGGAGCATGCTGCAAGCTTGCGGTGCTCCAAGGTAGCATCGATAATCGAGCAGTTTGTCTAGCAAGTGCCGATGTGCAGTTTGATTCCGCGGCGCCTGGCAGGCCCAGCAACCGATCCCCGAAGAGACCGAGAGCCTCCGACAGGCGCAGGCATGCAAGCGTTGCACGCACGCCAAAGCTGCTCTTGGAGATCAAACAGATGAATGTTGACCCTCATGCGCGAATCCCTCACCAGACGTTTGCCACCGTCGAGGTTTGCCACTGTCCAGTCTTCCAGCCTGCAACCATAGAATTAGAAGCAACCTGTTGAAAGCCCTCATTTGATTCTGCAATTTGCCATGGCACACAGCCATGCGCGCTTCCGAAAGTTTCCGCCACGAGCGAAGAAGCTGTGCCGCTTGCACAGCCTATGTGGGTTACACGACCGTAGCTTCTTTGAGCTTCGAAGTGGGCTTGCCAGATCCGATCGATCTCCTGCAAACCCTTATACAGACCGTCCTCAAGACCCCTTCCTAGCCCGAAGCACTAAGCTGCCCCCAGCCGGAGACCAGCTCAGACGCAGCCAACTTGCAGGCCTACGCGGTCATTGCGATTCCCCTCACTGCACCGCGCTTTTGCGCAGAGCGTTTTTTGATATATGGCTTCGAGTGAAGGCAAGAACTTGTGCGGGTTCCCAGGTTTCAGGGATCACTATGGGTGCGCCGGGTCAGAGGAGGCTCTGGCCGTCGGATTGTGGAGTTGATGTGCCGGTGGGCGATGGCAGACCTTGCCACGCCAAACTGCCTGCTGCAGCTTCAAACGTGCGCCGAATGTCGTTACCAGAACTATACCACAGCCCCCAAACCCTAATTAAACTGCTAGCCCTTACTTAGACTGAGTCTGCGCGACCTTACAGGCATTTACAGCCCCCGAACCCCTGCTAAGTCCCGAAGACACCCTAAGCTGAAAAAGCCCAAAAAGGCCAGCTGCAAAGGACCAACTCAAAGGCCTCTTCGGCCACACTGGCTCTACTGCACGTGACTTGTTGATAGGGAAACAAGGAGGGGAGCGGGAGGGGACAGGGAGGGGACGGGGAGGGCTCTTGTTTGGGGGGAGGGCCTCTGATGGCATCCGTAGTGAGTTGTAGTGGGCCCAAAAAAGCGAGGAACAGCACCATATATGGTCCATTGCAACGAAGCATTGCAGCCGTGCAGCCGTGCGACAGCGCTGATTGGCTACCGCGTGCTCGGCAAGGGCTGTGTGATGCGGAAAAAAACGCCGATGTAGGGAACATAACAACGGCCTGTAGCACTCCGCCGCAGCCAGTTCCGAGGACCGAAGCTGGTCTGCGAAACAATCTCTTCTTTCAGCCTGACAAGCCGTTTTTGCAGTTGTCGGTTCATCGGAAGTCTTGTGGCATGGATGTCGGTCTTTGAAGCGAGCTGCGCAACCCCGCCGCGGGGTCATACACATTGAGATCGACTTGCGTTTCTGTCGGGAATGTCTTCCGGTTGCAATAACTTTCAGAAAGCACGGCCATGAACCATGGTATGAAGGTTCGCGCTCCAGTGATGCTGCCGCTATTGTTAGTAAGCTCACTGTAGCAGATCCCAGTACTATTCTTGCAACCCTCACCCCCGCCGCGGATCCCTTCGTGCCCAGCGAGCAGGCCTTGCAGACTGGCCTGCGCTTGGAATCCGAACCTGCGGGGAGTCAGGCAGGTCAAGTATGATCGGGTGGCAGACGCTGATCGATGCAGCCAGCAGGTTGAGAGCATCTCCGTGTGTTCCATTGCGCTTGCAGCTCCGTTGGTCCATGATTTTGCATCCTTTTCCACTGTTGTCCATGCAGGAAACCGCCACCGGAAACGTGGTTATCGGCGGCTGGATGCGCTTGATGCGCCTGCGCGAGATGGCGCGAGATGCAGCCTTGGATGACGCCCCTCGGACCAGAAAGCATATCAATTTGCAAGTGCATGTTGGCGCAAGTTTTGGCGCAATTGTGCGGTGTAGTCCGAGCTTTTGCAAGGTCCCGTGCGCGGATGAAGAACATGCATAACATGTGCGACAACCTTAAGGCTTTGTGAGGTGGGCACCGTCCCAGCAAGGTGTGCTGTAGTCGCAGCAACCGGCCGGCTGTGCACTTAAGATCTTTTTGTGGGGTTTCCGGGCTTGCTGCGTCGTTCCGTTTGTGTGCAGGTGAAGTGGTGAACCACGCCGGCGAAAGCTCTTGGAAATGTATCGCGGTGTCCGGCAGTATGCTCAAGTCTGTTGTTACTATAATCGCATGTTTCCAGGTGGAGATGTAATTCATATAGGGTATCATGCCGGTAAGCTTCCAGATGCATGAAAAGGACAGTTTCGACGTACAATCGGGCTTCCTCCGCCGCAGCATTCGCCAAGCGAATGATTGCCAAAGATGCAGAGATCTGCGGCCTACCGAGAATCGCACAAAGGTTCGATGATTAAGCTATATGAAGCTACAAGGGTACACGTGGAACACGTGAACCTATAGTTGGCCACTGGCCGCATGCGCGCAAGACGTGCGATGCGCATCGCGAGCACTAGGCGCGCCGCAAAAAGTCGCCGCTTCAACATACTCAGCCGCATACCTCAGCTCGCGTACTGTTTTTGCACAATGGTGAGATAGCATGCCATTGCATACTACTACTACTACTACTACTACTACTACTACTACTACTACTACTACTACTACTACTACTACTACTACTACTACTACTACTACACCTACAACTACAACTACAACTACAACTACTACTACTACTACTACTACTACTACTACTACTCCTACTACTACTACTACTACTACTACTACTACTACTACTACTACTACTACTACTACTACTACTGCTACTGCTACTGCTACTGCTACTGCTGCTGCTGCTGCTGCTACTGCTGCTACTGCTGCTACTGCTACTGCTACTTCTACTGCTACTGCTACTGCTACTCCTACTCCTTCTCCTACTACTACTACTACTACTACTACTACTACTACTACTACTACTAGTACTACTACTACTACTGCTACTACTACTACTACTACTACCACTACTACTACTGCTACTACTACTACTACTACTACTACTACTGCTACTACTACTACTACTACTACCACTACTACTGCTACTACTACTACTACTACTACTATTACTACTATTACTGAATTAGTGTTGTAGATATATGATTTAGTCTCTGGCTCTGGTTTTTGTTCTAACGGCCAACTCTGACTCTGGATGCGACAGGAATCTTGCGAAGCAGCTGACGCCGCCCGAACACATCTGTGGCAATACGTAGTCAAGACTTTCGTTGACTGATATTTTTCATTGGCGTTTGATGAACTTCGTATGCAAGGTCTTGAGTCTTGAGGCCAACGGGCCCAATGAGAGTTGAATCCTCTGTAGTTCCAACCATAAGTGTGACCGTGTGGCCGCAGAAGACATAAGCAATGCAGGCCTGGAAATTGAAGCACATTTTTCACAGTACCTGCAAGGGCACATGTGTCTGAAAGGTGGACACGGGGCACGGCGCTGTCACTCCGACATTCTTCTGACTCCGGCTTCTCGACGTCCAGGTATGTGGGTGCGAATCTTGCCAGATGACAACCTCCCCTCCCCCCCCCCCCAACCCCATAACCACAGGAAGAAGAAGGAAAAGAAGTGAGAAGACGGCACTGGCACTGAGGATGGCGTTGGGGGTGGTTTTGTGCCAATGGTAAGTTAACGTTTCTGAACACGCATGGAGACGCAACCATATTGCATATACAATATTCATGCCTTCGTTTATCCGACTTCTGTTGGCAAGGCGGTTCCCTCTGCCGTTCGAACTGGTGGCCTTGGAGAAGTGTGAAACAGGTCCCTGACAAGGTCGCCTCTTTTTTTGCACGGGTCCCTCCACAGGTCCCCTTCTAATCGGTGGCTAGGAGTCCGTGTGCCACTAGGAATCCTCACACAGTCGCCCTGCAGAGGTCCTGAAACGCGACAAAAAACAGGGCGCTCCGACATCGAATTCGAGAATATTTGATTTGGGGCCTTGTAGTTCTGCTTAAGAGGATATTTTTAGATTTGCAACTCTGGGCTGAACTTGTGTCGTTTTGTCCCTCCGTGGAGTTCTCCATCCGCTCCCACCTGTATCAATTGGTCGGTTGCGCAGCGGCGGGCTGCCAGGGGTGACTTTCGGTTCAGCACAGCAGCACCATATCATAGATGTTTGCACATGGCACCTTGCAAGGCGAAGCTACATCTGCCTGTAAGCAGAAGCACACAAATGCGTGAACGCAATTTAGGGCAAACTTGGTCCCACCTATACGACCTATATAGAGCCAAAGCAGCCAGGCACGAGCGCCGATGCAGGATCCTCAGACCGCAGAGTTCGCTGAGTATCTAGTAGGAGAAACGTCAGCGTGCGCCGGCTCGGATCTGAAGCCCTACAACAAGAAAAGTCACGACCACGGGACCACCCGCAGGCTCCGGAGCCTCCAAAGGGCCAGCAGCCAAGAGGGTTTGGGAAGTAGAGTTCTCCTGTAGAGGATCCTACTGTTTGTGGTTTGCGGCCCTTTCGAATTTTGAGCACTGCCCTGGAGAGAGTAGAGAGCGCGCCTGCAGCATCCCGGCGTGACGCTGAGGGGAGCTCTGAGGCCTTCGGGGCGCAGATTCAGGGATGTTCGTATATAGGCGGCCTGAGGTTCTTGAATCGCGATGGGCGGCTTAGATACAAGTTGGGTTCGGCCGGTCCACACTAACAGTCACCACCAGCAGACCCACAAACAAAAGCACCCGGTAAATGCCAAAAAATTGACTGAGATTCCTGCTATTCCTGGTGCTATTCCTGGTGCTATTTCTGGTGCTATTTCTGGTGCATTTTTTTGTGCTATTCCTGGTGCTATTTCTGGTGCTATTTTTTGTGCTATTGTTTGTGCTATTTCTGGTGCTATTTTTTGTGCTATTGTTTGTGCTATTTCTGGTGCTATTTCTGGTGCTGTTGCTGGTGCTATGTGACTAACAATCACCATCAGCAGACCCACAAAAAACAGCACCCGGTAAATGCTAAGCTGATAAAATTGACTGGGATTCCTGGTGCTATTTCTGGTGCTATTGTTTGTGCTATTTCTGGTGCTATTTTTTGTGCTATTCCTGGCGCTATTTCTGGTGCTATTTTTTGTGCTATTGTTTGTGCTATTTCTGGTGCTATTTCTGGTGCTATGCTGATGTGACTAACAGTCACCACCAGCAGACCCACAAAAATAAGCACCCGGTAAATGCTAAAATTGACTGGGATTCCTGGTGCTATTTTTGGCCTGTGTGTTATAAGGCCACGGCGTTATTTGACTGTTAGTGTGGACCGGCCGAACCCAAGATACAAGCATAGACCCATAAATCCAGCTGGAGACCTGCAGTGTTTTGCTGAAGCTCTCCGTTTCTGCGGGGAACCGGCTATACTTCTAGAGCCGCCGGGTCGAGGGCTTGTATGAACGTCCAGAACGCTTCGGCATCGTTGTGGAGTGGTTGGAGCACGTGGCTTTGCATCGGAAGTCCCATCTGCTGAAGGTATATAGTTGTGAGAATTCAGTGGCTCCGCAAATGGCTGCATGAACACGTTCCCGGAGGTGTGATTGAGACGAATATGACGAACCCCGCCTGCTGCCCCCAGGATAGACCGCTGGAGGGCGCCGAAGTGACCATGGCCCCTTGCCTGCTGCTGCACATGTACTTCCTCTTCGGGTATGGTTCTGATTCGTGTGGGCGTTCGGATCAACAGCGGAGACAAGTTCTGAGCTCCTTTTTCCCTCAATTATGTTTCGACTTCCCACGACCGAGGGACACTTTACATCCTCGCAGAGTGGTTGCGAGGCTGCTAGGCAGGTGGCAAGAAAAGCTTGAACAGGGGAAAGCGAGCATCAATTTGGGCGCCACCACATGCAAGGAGCGGACCGAGGCCTTAGCGCTCGCGCATGCTCAGCAGGCCGCGTCCACGTGCTACGTATAGCGAACCCAAGCAAACGAAAACACAACGTTCGCCTTGGCAGTCTTGTTGTTGCCATTTGGGGCACATCTCGCGCGGTGCGTGTCCAATGTTTGACTCCTGGCTGAGCGCGGCCCTGGCAGGTCCGCATCTTGCCTGCAAACCCTTCGAGCCTAGACAAAAAAGCAACAAGCAATCCAGACACCCTCTGTCGTGCCATCGTGACATTGTCGATACTTCCCTCCCCTCGCGGATGCCTTCTTCTCACGACCCGCCAGGTAAAGGTAAGAGCATTCGTATATTCTGTTCTGATACAGGAGAGAAGCAAAGCCTTGGTCACTTGCAGAGGTCGAATCGTTCAGCGCTTCCAGCGGCTGGAAGCCACTCGGGCGCCCGTCCTCTTGGCCTTGGACAACCTGGACCGGGGCCGGGAGGGGGTGACGAATCCTCAATCAGGGCGACATGCTCGGGAAAGTTGATAGTTTGCCGTACGTGACTTTGATGCAGGACCCCATCATGGCCAGCGCGGAGGGTGCAGCAGAGCTGAGGCACCACTTCCACACGAGGGGCGGTGGGGGTGGTATGCGTTCGTCGTGAAGACTCGTAGACATAGCGGCGTGTTTACCCACATCAGTAGTGAGTAGTCAACGGCAATATGTGAGAGCTTGCATGCATGTGTGGGCGTGTTTGAGTTTCGTTGCTGATGGGTCCTTGCCCCTGGCCTGATAGACGGTTTTCCCACAGTCGCCTTGCCTGCACTGTGCTATCAACCCCGTCCTAGAAAGCCACGCACAGCCCATAAGCCCTTCTGCAACCTTTCCAAACCCCTCCCCCACCAAAAACAAGAACCGAATAAACCCGATAAAACCCTATAAGCCCTTCTTGTTTGTGCACAAGCGCTCCTTCCGGAAGCAGCCTCCCTTTTGGCACCCCAGGAAGGTCCTGACGGAGCTGCTGCTCCGCACGGAGCGCCTCGAGATCTTCCTGGGCGCCCGCGAGGCCCCCTTTCGGCTGTTCAGGTGTGGTTGAGGGTTTGTTGTTGGCGTTGTTTCGGGAGGGGTTCAGGCTTTTTGGATCATG